TAGTGAGATTTAATTCCAGATTAGGTATAGGACTTTAGCCTTAAAGTGTTATTCTGCATATGTGTACTCATTAGTAACCTCCCATTGACATCAATGAGATATACTAACATTTACAGGATTTGCAATCTTAAACAGTTCAACCAGCAGATGAATCAACTAAAGTGTTTGTTGATTAACTAGAGGGATCTATTTTAACCACTGGAGCAAATATTAATTAATGGGTTGTAAATTCACAGAACACCTGTCTTTTTTGAGAATAGTTTAGATCTGTTGTGTTGTGCTATGTTGGTTCTGATGTTGCAGGTTGTATTTCTGCAATAAAGTAAGAATTTGAACATATTAAAGAGGAATTTACCAAACATTAATGCAAATTAGGTTTTATCCACTGATTTCATTCAAGATTTTATTAAATCTTACACTTTCTTTGAGACCTAAAAACCCTAAATTATACTGATGTCAAGACACTGGCCAGGTACCAACACCAACTAATAGAAACTGAATAAAGAAATAAACTAGCCCAAGATTGTTACCACCAAGTTCTTTCAGAGACATTTTGAGGTCCAAAGCAGAAAAGTAATTTTCATTCCCTGCTCTGTGACTGTACCAAGTTAATGCATATAGTACTGAAACCCAGCCAACTTATGCTACACATGTAGTAGAAAGTACAGCAATCACTTTCCCCCATTCCTAGTGATAAAAATACAAATGCTTGGGACAAGAAATGTTTCCAGAAGTGTTTTTTCAGATTTTGGAATATTTGCAGGTATGTGATGAATATTTGCAGGTATGTGATGAGGTACCTTGGAGATGGGACCTGTTACCCATAGTCCCCTTCATATCCAAAATATGAAAAACCCCATATGCTACCCCATAGTTCCCCTGCTATCAAAAATATGAAATTCCCTGATGACCTCCAGATTAATTCTGGCAGTAGAATTGGAGGCAAAGGTCCTCTGCGCCCATGGCCTGGGCAGACCACCCTTAATCCTTAATGCATACATGAGCCCCCAGATAGTCTAGGAGAGTTGCAAATGGGATTTTCCCTGATGAGATCATCCAGTCATCGAAAGGTGCATTGTGTCACCCAGTCACAAGCACCCTCAGCCATCAAAGGTGTAATGTTTGTATTGTGCCATGCAGTCTCACACGCCCTCACCCATCGGAAGGCGCACTGTGCCACCTAGTCAAACATTCCCCCAGGATATTGGCCCCTCGGATTAAGACCACCAAATACAATGGAACCCTATACAGCAGGGTGCCATCATTGCAATTATCGCCTTTCGCCCCAAGGCCCGTTTGGTCCTATATAAACCCCAGATTTTGGCCAATCGGTGTGCTATCTTCTTGGTCTAAACGACTCCACGTTACTCAGACCCTTGAAGCTAGTTACCGGCAAGTCAGCTCAAACCCAGGCTGCGGAGCTAAACTTGTCTTCCATCATCCCGCATCCCATTCGCTTCCCAGAGGAAGGTCTACATCTCGGTAAGCATCACCATTAGTAACGCCTGAATTTCTGTTCCCATCTCCAACCATGATTTTCCTGAGCCTTGAGTGTGTGTGTGAGTGTATGTTCTGTGAGTGTGTTTCCCCTATTTCAATAAACTAGCTAGCTGCCAACATCAGTCTCAGCTTCATTCTTTGGAACACCCCTGGTCTCTTGGTATAAACATCGGGAGGGCGATCTCGTTGGGCTCTTGTAGCCAGCCCCTCTTGCAAATAATAATAACAACAATAATTCCCCTAAGGACTCTTGGCTACAGACCCAATTCGAAACATGAAATTTATTTATGTTTCGTATACACCTTATACGAAAAGGTAATTTTAGACATAATGATTTTAAATAATTTTGTGTATGAAATAAAGTTTGTGTACACTGCACCATCAAAAAGCAAAGGTGTCATATCTCAGCCACCCATGTGGACAAATTTGGAGGATTTTAGAATTCTGGATAAGAGAGATTCAACTTGTACTATAACAATAAAGTAGATAAAGTCACAATCTACTGCAAAACTGAGCTGCCTGAACCAGTTTCTGCGTTCTGCCAAATGGTAGGACCAGACCTGATTATTAAAGGCCTTTCCTCTTGATATTGGTATAACTGATGAAATAGTGGTGGGGGCACCAAGGTGAGCCCCCAGCAGAACTACATTTGTGCTCCATCTCAGTTTCTCTGACATATGGCAAAATGTGTCAACTTCCTGCTGTTTCTCTCTTGGAGAAGAATAAACACTGAGGTGCTAATCCTTCTTGGTGGGTCAAGGCATTTGTAAACCACATCTGTTAAAACACAGGCAGCCCAAGATCACAGGCAGCCTATGGAGTCCAATTTGGAAGCCTACCTACCACTTTCAAGTTTTTGCTTGGTCACAAAAGTGGAATTTGCCAAGATTAATGAGCCTCACAGACAGAACTGAGCTGGCATTGCAGAGAACCTACCGTATTTGTTTATTACAATTTGCATCCCATTCTTCTTTTTAAAAACTCAGGGCAATGCACAAATTCTTCTGACTAATGAAGATGAAGAAAATGACTAATTAAAATGAAGTTGGAAGATAGTGACTACATTCAGCCATAACAACAAACACATCAACTAGCTAAGGCCTCCGCACTTTCTCCTCCACCAAGGCACATTTTTTTCCAAAATAATTTCTCATTTCTCAGCAAAGCACAGCTTGGTCATTTGTTGACTTCAAAGGCAGGAAACTATGCTTTGCTCAAACCATGGTTAGTCTTGTAAAACCAGAATCTCTGTTTAGAAACTAGAACTCCTTGAGAAATTGCAGTGTGAGAGGAGGAAGGAGAAGGAAGTGAGAAGTTGTGATAGCACATGATTTATTCATATAATGTCAAACTATGATTTGGCATTTTATACACCAAACTATGGTTTGGCCAGCAACTAGCTCAAGTCAGTTTCACACCTGAGAATGAATTGAAATCCATTTCTCCCATCCAATGCTCAACAATGTATACATTACAACACATTGTCTTGTAATACTGTCTACTCCCTTTTTGCCCTACCCTTGGTTCCCAAACCAAATGAGGCTACAAATATCCACTGAGATATAATCTGTACAAGGGTTCAACTATGAAACAAAGGAAGTGTAAATATAATTAATTTATTTTATTTATTTGTAAGGTAATGAAATTTAATTCCATTTATTTAAATGTAATGAAAGCATCTCTAGACAGATGCATGGCACATTTCCAGCATGCAACTATTCAGTTCAAATTTTATTACAGTGATCCCTCCACATTCACTGGTTTAGAGGTGAAGGATCCCCATGAATGTGGAAAAACTACAAATAAAAAAACCCACTATTTTTTTTTTACCTGAGAGAGCACATCTCTAGGAATATCTAGGGCCTCCAGTGCAATTCTATGATCAACATCTGCCAGAAGCTGATCATAGAATCATGTTGAAAGACCTACAAATGCCTAGATAACTGTTTTCACTAGGAACTTCTAGTTTTTCAGCACAACTCTATGGTCAATTTCTGGCAAGAGTTGCATTGGAGGACCTAGAGATTCATAGAGAGAACATATTAATCAAATTCGCAAATAATCAAATCCACAAAAGTCAAAGCCGCAAATGTGAGGGCCAACTGTAGTTAAAATCCTGACTTTTGGATTGTGATGGAAGATTCCTGATAAGAAGACAATGTTTCTGATAGAATTTTGCATTAACATCTCTTCCTGGTCTCAGCAGTCCCTCTCAAACTGGCAACAGGAAATGATGCAACTTCATTTGTGTGTGTTTATGTGTGTGTGTCCGTCCGGTGTACGGGTCGGGGGTGAAGAAATTATCCCTTGCTCCATCCAGTTGCCCACCCCTGCATTAAAGCATAAAGTCCAATACAGCAAGGCATGCACTTGTGAAAGGTGGTAGATGTAGTCAAATAATACCAATTTTGGTTGTTGTTGTGTGTCTTGGGAGTCATTTCCAACATATGGTGATCCAAAGACATCATAAGATCTTCTTGGCAAGTTTCTTCAGAGGGGGTTTGCCATTGCATTCTCAAGGCTAGGAGGGTGTGACTTGCCCAAGGTCACCCAGCGTGTTTCCACGGCTGAGCTGGGATTCGAACCTTGGTCTCCCAGTGCCTAGTCCAATACTCAAACCATTACATCACACTTGCCCCAGTGTCCTAATCCAATGCTCAAACCATTACACACACACTACCAATGTTGGTAGGCCCTCATGATTAAATCTCTCTTCTCTAGTTAAATTTTTTCCCCTGACTTTTAAAGTAGAATACCCCACAAGGACCTTTGCCCTTGGCTGGCAATAAAAGTACAATTGTAACTCAACCATTACCGCCGGGATATAAATAATAATAATAATAATAATAATAATAATAATAATAATAATAATAATAATAATAATTTGCTGCCCTTTTCTAACACCTTAAATGTGAGGGAGTTACTTCATTTTGCCTTATGGTAGAGCCATTCCTGTACAGTATTTCAGTGGATGAACTACCTCCACTTCTTCTGCTTTGTGTTTTGTATTTTATGGGACTTCCCTCTGTGACCAGGCTATTGACACAGTTCAAAAATGAAAATGGTATTTCTTTCACTTTGGTGAATAAGTTCGGTGCTCTGTGCTCAATGAAAATTTTAATATGAAAGAAAATGCAAGTGAAAAGTCAGCAAGAAGAGTGACCAGAGGCAAGAAAGTGTATCACATGTCAAAATGGCAGTGGATAATACTAAGGGTAAAATTAGGGAAGATTTTGAAAATGAAATGTTAATGTCTGACATGTGGCTTCACAATGGGGTGAGGCTATGTGAGATAGTATCTAATCAAAGCTTGTGATAAACCACAGTTTTCATGTCCCTTCTCAGTGCTCTCTGCCCGGCATGGTAAGGTCTTTCTGCAATTACAAAGTAAAGGCATCAAAGAGAAATATTTTAATCTAGATTTCTGTCTGATCTTCTACATTACTATTTGGTGGTTGTGGTTTTAAAAAGCAATAATATGCAAATACATTCAAACTTGAGCCAGTGTGGCATAGTGGTTTGAGTGTTGGACTATGACTCTGAAGGCCAGGATTTGATTCCCTGCTTGGCCGTGAAACTCAGTGGGTGACCTTAGGTAAGTTTCATGCTCTCAGCCTCAGAGGATGGCAATGACAAACCTCATCTAAACAAATCTTGCCAATAAAACCCCACAATAGTGTCATCAACAAACATTCATTCATACTTGCAGTCTGCATTCATTCAAACATACATACTTACAGTCTCTCATCAACAAACTGTGGTGGACTTTGGGTTTGACCTTTGCACATTCCTTCTTCCTTTTGTATATGAGAGGAGAGTGAATGGTTTTTTAAAATTGCACTTCAGAAGTCATCAAAATTACCTGCTATATTTGTACTCAGGCAACTATGATTTGGTCTAATCAAAGTTTATTTAAAGAAATCAAAAGCATTCAAACCATGGTTTCAGGTCCTCATTTAATTATTGTTGGTCAGAACAAACTACAATTCCCTGACTTTGGACATAACAGGAAACCTTGATTTATTCTAATACCTCCTCTCATGTGCTAAGGAGAAGGAGGGGGGTAGAGATGAGATATGTATGAACTCAAGACCAGATTTACTGTGTCTTTCCCCCCCAAACCTATGACTAGTTTAGGGGTTCATTTCTAACAATGATGTAATTCCAACTGAATTTTGTGTGAATAGTCTGAACATATAAATCCACCTGTTGTAACAAAACTAGAAATGGGCTCCTCCGACAGTCTCTTCCTTCCCAACACTGCAAGGCATTTGGGTAATTTCTAAATGTAAAACCCAAATCCTCATGTTTGACAAACAAAAAGGTTATCTGGATATACTGAGTCAACCAGGCATCAACAAGGCAATCTGAGATTCCTTGGTGGATTTCATAAAGTACAAAAAGGAAAATACAGAATTTAGTCTAAATACACAGCAGAGGAGGGAATTAGCAATACTATTTTCAAACATTAATTTGGGCTTGTTATTAAAATACAAAGCACCCTTCCATATCTGAAAAGCGACATTTTCTGCTTTGGCTTTCACTCGAACCGCAGCTTTAATACAGCACAGCAGGGTGTGTTAGCTCTTTCTTTCTAAATTTGGTCCATTATCAAAGAGTTCAATGGGGTTTGCCAATAAGCCTTTATTTAGCCATGCTGAAAAACTGCTGACAAATGAGATTCTTCCTGTAGCAGTAAAACAAGGCAAAACTAAAAATACCTAATTACAAAAACACACAGTGGGCCATTGGGAAAAGCACATGTCTGGGAAGATTTAAGCAGGCAGGTTCTAATGGGAAAATGAAGGGAAAAACCCAATGTTTATCACTATCCCTATGATCCTCATCATTACCACAACAGTAATGATAATGATGTTTTGTCTCAAGAGCGTCAAAGTAAAGTAGCGTAAAAATGACAGGAGACAATCGCTGTGTTTATCTTAAAGAAAGGTGCCAAACAACACACAGAAAACCATGAGGGCTGTACTGCTTTGTAAATTGAGCTTTCCTGACCCTACTTCCATGTTGCAACCAGCTGAAAACCATTCTGGGGGTTGAAGGATGCCTGAAAACAATATTCTTTAGTAAAAGAGTTCCTATATCTTGGATCAAACGTAGATCAGAATGGGGACTGCAGTCAAGAAATCAGAAGACTAAAAATGGGAAGGGCAGCTATGAAAGAAGTAGAAAAGATCCTACAGAGCAAAGATACACAATTAAGCATGGAAGTTAGAATCGTACAAGCTCTTGTATTCCACATTACCATGTATAGATGCAAGAGCTGGACAATTAAGAAAATGGATAAAAAAGAAAACAAATGCATTTGAGATGTGGCGCTGGAGAAGAGTGATGAGGATACTGTGGACAGCCATCCCACCCCCAATAAATGGTTCCTAGAACAGATCAAGTCTGAAATCTCCCTGGAAGCCAAGATGATTAAAGTGAGGTTGTCATGCTTTGGCCACGTCATGAGAAGGCACAACATATTAGAAATGACAATAAAATGCTAGGAAAAGTGAAAGGAAGGACAAAGAGAGGAAAACTACATGCTAGATGGATGGACTCTATTAAGGAGACATGGATCTGCAAGAACTAGAATAGTGGAAGACAGGGAGATGTCTCATCCACAGGGTTGCCATGAGTTGAGATCAACTTGAGGGTGGTTAACAACAACAGAATCTGAGCTGCTTTGAGTCCTGTGAAAGAAAAAAAAAAGGGAAAGGGGAGAGATCTCAAATTAATTACTTAATTGGCATGGAGTGCTGTCCACAGCAGGGAAGCTGGTAAAAATCCCTCTCATTGTTGAATGAGTGACAGTGTCATTCTATCTGCAGAAGGAATCTCTGGATCCAATCTGCTCAGGGCATATCTATCCCAAAGCAATGGATGCAAACTACGGGAAAAGAGATTCCACCTCAACATTAGGAAGAACTTCCTGACAGTAAAAGCTGTTCGACAGTGGAACACATTCCCTCGGAGAGTGTGGTGCAGTCTCCTTCTTTGGAGGTTTTTAAACAAATGGCCATCTGTCAGGGGTGTATTGTGTATTCCTGCAGGGCATGGGTTTGGACTGGATGGTCTTTAGGTCTCTTCCAAACTACAATTCTTAGAAGCACAGTTTTATGCAACTTTAAGTGCCACAGCTTCTCTCCAAACAATTTTAGGAATTGTGGATTGTTAAAACTTGCTGAATTAGCTAAAATGGTCAAATTAACAGGGGTTCTAAAGGAAGCCAATTGAAGACTTTTTGAAAGACTGCAAACTGTTTATGGTTTATTTGAGCAATTAGAAACCTAACAATGTAATAACTTCTGGTTATGGCTTTTTAATAACTGTAGCACGATTATTTTGTAATGGCAGAATAATACTTTTTTACTTTTTAGAACTTTTCATTACAATCAGGAAAGGGGAGTCTGAGTCCTATTGTGTATTATATGTCTTTTTCCTCATTTTTCTTTTCTCTCTTTCCTTCTCCTTTATTTTCTGAATGTATATTGCTTCGATTGTAGATTAGATTATTTGTGTAATAAATTAAAACAATTCTTTGAAATATGTATCACACATATACATATAAAGAATTTTGGGAAGCGTAGTTTGGAAAAGTTGCAGAACATTTTCTGTAAGAGGTCTCTTGAGGTCTCATAAAGAACTACAGTCCCAGGACAGTAATTCACTGTTTAACCTCTAAAAAGCTGAGGTACAGATGTGCCTAGAATTTGTGTGGGAAGGGCAGCATAGAGTGGGTTGGTACTGATGTCTCCTGCTGCTCACAGTGGCTTTGTACGTGGTATATATGGGACGGTTCTCAGGTTTTACTGCCAATATCTCTAGGGCTGCTGCCATACTGCAGAATTAATGCAATTTGACACTGCTTTGTAAAACCACAAATGCCAGAATTCCATAGCACTAAGCCATGGCAGTTAAAGTGGTGTCAAACTGCACCAGTTCTGCAGTGTAGATGCAGTCTGGAACAAAACAACTTGCACAGCCGGCCTGGTGGGAAAGGCCTCTGTTTGTGCTCCTGCTGGCCTTCAAAGCTGAAGCACTGGAGGTAGGATGGCTATATCCCCATCTTTACAGAGATCAGTCCTTTCAGTTGGAAGAGCTATGAGAGGAAAGTCTTCCATTTGAAGGGTTGTCTAGTCTTCAAGGTAAGACAATACAACATACCCTCCAAAGGGCATTCCCAATTCATCTACTGTCATCCCACTTTTTCAGCTGCTTTGAAAATGTCCCAGTTTCTATCGTCATCATATTTATTTGTATCCCACTCTTTTCCCAGAATTGGAACTCAGAGCATCTCACAACATTAAAAGAACAGTACAATTAAAAACAGAAAAGTGGTACATTTCTCTCTTTTCTCACTTTCCCTCTTTGTCCTCAGCTTATTTTGACTGCTGTAAACAGAGTTCAACTTGCCAAAAAAAAGAGAGAGAGAGAGAGAGCTTCATTTCCCTTTTCAAATTTCAGTGCCTTTAACAATACTGAATTACAACATGGAGGGAGGTGAAGACTTAAGATGTAAAAACCCCAAACCAAACAAAAAACAAAAGCCTGCCCTCAATTTCATGCATCTGATTCCAAAAGGTATGAAATTTTGCATTCCTCTCAGTTTCCTGTTTTCATCCACAAGTGAAAACATTGAAATGCTCTAAATGAATTTGTTCTCACAGAATGTCCAGCTGTGTCCAGATGAGGCACTGAGTGCCAGATCCCATGTAAGAAAGAAAGGCAAGTTCTTTTCAGCCTAGTTCTGCTCACTCGGGAGTAGAGCACTGGTGTTTTTCCGTAATGTTATACAAACAGATTCCAAACTCTTCTGATTCTTCTTCATTGTCTTTTCCTATTTCTGGTGTAAATGACATACATGCCTTTCTTTGCCTGTGACTTTCAACAATACTGCTAGTGAGCATTAGATCCTTGACAGATATTCCTGCATTCATGATGTACATTTAGCTGGTAACACTTTGTTGTTTGTTGTTGTTAACTGCCCTGGAGTCGATCTCGACCCACGGTGACCCTATGGATGGGACATCTCCAAGACCCCCAGTCCTCCACTGCTTTGCTTAAATCCTGCAATCCCTTAATACTCGTGACCTCCTTAATAGAGTCCATCCATCTGGCATGTGGCTTTCCTCTCTTCCTACTTCCCTCCACCTTTCCCAGCATTTTCCAATGAGTCCTCCCTTCTCATGATCTGTCCGAAGTACGACAGCCTCAGTTTAGTCATCTGGGCTTCCAGGGAGGTCTCTGGCTTGATCTGCTCCAGGACCCATTTGCTTGTCCTTTTGGCTGTTTAGCTGGTAACATTAATATCCTACAAAGGACTTCAGTCAGGGTCAACCCAAGACATTTTGCCACCTGAGGCAGAGCAACATATGCCACTCCTGGTGTGACAGCCAAGGTTCATTATTCTCATGTTATTCTGCCAGATGAGACAGAAAATCCGACAGACACCTCTTCCTCTTGTTGTTGTTGATCTCAACTCATGGCGACCCTGTGGATGAGACATCTCCAAGATCCCCTATCCTCCACTACTCTTCCCAGTTTCTGCAGATTCATACCTGTGAC